ATCTCTGGTTGCTTCATTCTCTCTGAATGTCTTTTATTTTAGAATAGAATTTTGCAACATAACAAGCGGAAATGAGTCAAAGGTATGCTAAAGTTTGGAGTAAAAGAAAGTGGACTAAAGGTGAGGAAATTTTAGAGGCACTGGTCCAGATCTGCTGATGATGTCAGTTGGCGGTAATGACATCGGATATTCAGAAATATTGTCCACTCTAATTGGAGGTCCAACAGGTCCTCTGTTCTCCACGATTGATATGCGCTTCTTCTACACATCGTATCAGCTAGATCGAGTTGCAAAAGCTATTCAAAAGTTGAAACCAAACCAGGTTGCATTCATTAGACTTTGAAATATGCGATCAGTTCATAAACTGAGGATATCCTTGCAATGTCATCCGCTTTGTATAATGCTGTCTGCTATGCTCCATTTATTTATTTCTTATTGAATTCAGGTTTTATTGCGTTGTAAACTAGGATTGATATAATTAATGCTATTGACAATTGCACAATTTCAACTACATATTCAGGTCATCATACCACATTATTTCGATCTCACACGCAACGAACGAGGTGTAGTGGATGCCGATTGCGCTGACATGCGACAAGTACAATTTTATACTATTTTATTTGATATACAGAACGAATTCTGATAAAGGAATTTGTTCCTACCGCATGGGAGTGTTTTTCAATAAATGGATATCAATGCGTGTAAAGCAATTCCCGTTAGTGTGGCGTTTTTTTGTTTTATCAGTGACGTGAAACTTTCACGAAGTTCATTTAACTTCCACGTATTTGCATGAAAATTTGGTTATTCGAAGTTCTTGTTTTTTAAGAGAAACTGATTTAAAATTTTCTGTCTTTTTCTTCATCCTAAATTAAGAAATACTTGTACGGAAAATGTGCACAGAATCATAATCATAGATAAGCACCGAAAATTTGATGTTAGCCGAAAAAAAAATTTTACAACGGATTAATGGATTGATAACGAAAAAATCTAAGCAATACGGTTGGACAGCAGTTGAAGGAGTCACTGAATTGTTCCGATCACGCGGTTGTTGTTCTTCTAATTCATTTATTAGGCATGTTTACTTGATCTTCCATTTTCACTGAATTCATTGCTGACCACCCGTTCATCTTTAGCAAAAACATAAACAATTCTAATATAATTCATAGTGCTACCATTCTTTGCAAGTGATTGTTTCACGTTAGACAGTTATTAGTGCCAAAGACAAATAGCCTCTAATTTTAGGTTGTTTGGACTGGAAAACATGACACATTTTAAATCTACGTTAAAAAAAACAAAACATTCCCAAATACTTTTAATTCAAATAAGAATATTTTCAAATTTTGAAATTTTGTAAAATAGAACTTAAATGTGACTCAGAGGAATCAGCAACAGCGTGATGCAGTGAAACGGTGAGGTTTTTGCTGAAATAATCGTAAATTTTAGAAGCATACGCGACTCAATTCGATTGCAAGGCAATAGTTTTGGAGCATTTCATCCGATAGAGGAAGCCCATCAGCAGATCGCTGATTTGATTGTCAAACAAGTGCGACAGTTCGATAATTAACATTTTTACTTTTTTTGAACTGAATCGTAAAATAAATGCAAATGTTGCATGGAATGACAAAAACATCCGAAAACTCTTCTCTTCCTCAACATTTTGGGAATTTGCTTTCGAAAAAGAAGTAGTGAACGAAAGCCTTTCATTTCTACTTATCTACCGATAGTTTTTATCATTTATGAATTAGCAAATTAACTGACAACTTGTTAGTGGAAGTTTTTGTTAGCGAAAGTTTTTCTTATCTACCGATAAGTAAGAATGAAATATGCTTGAGTCATCCCATCATTAAAATATGTTTCCATCCTTACTCTCTCATCTATTAATATTTATTTTCAAAGTTTTATATCAAAAAAACATTCACTTCCAAAATTTCGAATTTGTCAAACTAGTTTTTGTCATTTGTGAATTAACAAATTAACTGACAACTTGTTGGTGGAAGTTCCGAATATCTGCATAATCTTCCATCATTATAGCCATTTATATCCGTTATTGTATTAAACTTTCAATTTATATTTGCCGTTCATTTGTTTATGTTTATTGAATCATTTCCATTTTCTTCATTTTGTTCATACTCTAAACTTAGCCGAGTGCACATCTATGCATAATGGAGCAGTCTCAATTCCCGACTTGACCTTTGAACTATCTGACATGTTATAGATCTGATATTCATATTTTACATTGTGATCTCATTGTTGCTGCAACTGATGCTATTTTTATTGTGTGACTATTGCAAATTGATAAAACATGTACAAAGATTTCTTAATTAGTACCTTAACGATCTATTTAATTAACTTTTCAACTTGGAATGCTATGGATAGGGTACATTAACATGAGTCTACCTTCTCTTATCACTACGATAACTGGGAACGAGGATTCCTGCTAAGTTCATATTACTGGACAACAAAAACCAAAAGACATTTTTGAAGATCTAGTCCAGTTCCTATGAAATAGAAATAAACGAAACTTGAACTAATACTAAGATACCGATGAACAAAGTGAACAAGGATGTCTCAGGAAAACATGCTTGTGCATGAAACATCCCAAATAATTTATTACTTGTTGGCTTCTCTAGCAATTAGTATATGAAAGGAATGAAATTGGCCTTGAGGCAACTGAATTCTGTAGAATTCAGTTTCGTTCACTCTAATCCCATCCAATTAGTTGGGCTTGCTAGTACGGCGCTTCAGATCACCAACTATATAATTTTGTTTTATTTCTTTAGGCTAAAAAAGAAGACAAATAGTTAGGCCTTTCAATTGCATTTAGATTTTAGTATTGTTTCGTTCGGTACCATATCCCACTCCTGTCAACCGTTTATCAATGAAAAGGTTGATTGTTGTCAAAGTAAAATAGCTTTTTGAAATTTCGGCCGCAGCCGTGATTTCAAATAGTTGGATCACTTTTTTTCTTTCGAGAGATTACTCTGACTTTCAATTATATCACGTTTTTTCTTTTTTTTTTAAATCGCGTCATTTCTTTGAACTTGACCAACTAATGACTTGCGTAGCAAACTATCTGGCTTCCTCTCCTTGTAATAACAATTGTGAGTGGTAAAAATCAGAATTAATATTGGTTTGCTTCAAATAAATTAGCACATTTCATCCTGACAGCTTTTTTTTTTTATAATTAAGGAGCAAATACTGCAAATTAGTTGAAAAATTGCAAGTAACATGATGTGTGAGACATGTTATTTGAAAGGGTTAAGGTTCATTGCTGAGAATTCTACGAGGAATCAACACTCGAGGAATTTAAACATTTTAACGTAATTCGTGCATCTAAATGGATTTCTAAATTTTTTTGAGCATAATTCATACTTCTCAGTGTTTTTTCCGACTTTCATTCAGGAGAAGTCAATACTGTTTTGGTCTTCTGTTTATTACATTGCATTTTGAGCAACGTTGATTTTGTTAAACTGGCAAATTTCGATCTTCTTTTATTGTGAAATTTTACGAAATTTTTTGCCCATTCTTGTGCTTGAAAGAAGAATTAGTATGAAGGAAGTAAAGTTTCAAAAATAGTAGAGAGATACATTATGTGCTTCAAAATATCACCGAGAAGAAGATCACATAAATGAGGAGTTTCTTTTCATATTTCAATTATATCGATGGAATTCCCTTGAGGAAATAACGATTCATTCGTTATTATGAGAGTGAAATTCGCTATTTTTCGTCAGACTTCGTACATTTACTGAATTTTATTCTTATTTATCTCTTTTCTGCTTAATTTACAAAGATTTGAGAATATATTTTGGAGGCGATAAATTATACTAAAAGGTTTAATTTAATTCAGAAGTTAAACTCGCACTATAAGAAGTGTAATGGATGATGTATAGAAATAAAAATTTAAATAAAGCTTATTGTAAATGAGCTTTAACTTATGCTAACCTATCCAATCATGTAAGGACAGCAATTGTTGAAAATTTAGAGCAACACTACTGGATCTTTTCTTCCAGTATCAAAAAAGAATGCTTATTAGCAAGTGCACGTCGTAATATTCTAATATCAGTTGAACAGAGAATGGGAAGCCGGATCTGAACTTTGAATTTCGGATGAGAAAATATTTCACATTAAATACTTTGCTATTAATACATTTGCAAACTCCACCATTAATCTATCCTAAAACTATTTTTTAAGGAAGAGTAGAATAATGTAGCACCCCGATATATATATATATATATATCCTTTACTTTACCATGTTATTTTCATCTGGGCTTTCAACGCTCGTTTAATTTTAACTTTTCGTACTTTCTGGCGGTTTCAATAAGGACATTTTAAGTAATTTGAATAATTTAAACGTGGGCGTTCAACTTTTTTCTACATGATGCATAGGGGCTTTAAGAAGAAAAAGAATTGAAATCAAGGCATCAGTACTTCAAACTTCCAGTTGTTTTGCATTAAAATCATTCAGTTGCCCTAAGATTTTGTTAAATTACTTTTGATATTTTTTACAGGTGAAATTCAAATGGCTTGCATGTCGCAATACATATTTTCAATTTTGAAACTTTGGAATAAATTGCTAACAAACAGAAATGAGTGCACTTTCCAAGATTTCATTGCTTACTTATTCTTCAGCTATTTTAAGCAAACAAACGATCTGTTTAAGGCACATTCCTGCAGTTTCATCGATCTATCCTAGACGCACCCTTGGCTTCACTCATTCATTGTTCTCAGTCCAATCTTCATTCCTAGTTCTTCCTCATACCTCATACATTCCAGTTTCGCAGCTTATTCAAAATACATCACCATCACTTGAAAAACCCTTCTCTCCTCTCATTCATATGTGAAGACTGAAGTGGTCGATCGAATGATTCAAATGCAATGGCAGTTTATTCTTTCAAATTATTCCTAATTTTACAACTACTGTTGATAGTTTAACAAAAAGCTTTACTTTACAACAGCGCAGAAAAGTAGACTGTGTAAAATGAGAAAATCACAGTTAGGCACTGTTTAATTATTCCCTTCCGTATTAACACTTAGAACTTTATTCGTACTTCACTCATTTCCGCTTGCTTTACAAAAAGGATTTATCGTAATCGTAGGATATTGGGCTGATGCTTAATTAAATAACTACTATTATATTTGCGCAGTGCCAGTATATTTCATATCTCTGCAGAGAATACTGTAGCAGCTGAATTATTGGATATTTTTATCATTCCTACTATTATCATTATCTGTTATCAATATCACCGTTTTATCACTATCACTATTTAACAACAAAGACTACGTTAGTATTTGGATGATGTAGTAATATGAAACTCCTCTCGAAAACGATACCACTGTGTAATTTGTGTTTTAACGGGATACCACAATAGAACAAAGTGAAATTATTTCTTGTACGTTTATCAATCAGCGGGCTCCCAAATACTAATAAGATTGATAAAGAAGAAATATTGCTAGGAGTAAACTGAGTTGTAAATGAGTGAAGTGTGAGTAGTGCTAAAGTAAAAGCATAACAATGCCTCTGAAATATAAATATTTAGACAAAGTTACTGCTTGTGGAGAGGAATCTTATATTTTTGATCATTTGGCACAAAGATAGTTCTGTCCCCATCGTCTGGCCTAGCATCGCCTAGACATTAATAGGCTCCAATAGCATTCAAGAATTAGAACAGAGTAGACATGGTGAAACTAATCCAGTTTGAAAATTAGTTTGATGCTAAGTTTGTATAGCTTTTTAATTCCTATTTATCTTCCGAAGACATGGATCCCGATTCATCTTTCAGGAACATAGGAATGTGCTGTCAGTTTTTAAAGAAAAATGAGTTCTGCTATAATGAGTTGAAATATATTGTATATTCATGCTTACAAATGTACGCTTAAAATACACGCAACCGTTCCCTTTTGCATTATTTAAAGTGTTGTGCTAAACATAACTCCTCAGCTGAATATTACGCGGACTTATGGTTGAGTATTATTGATATCTGCAAATGAAACAGCTTATTTAATGGGAGATAGGTGCTGTTTGAATTTCTCATAATGCTAATTAATCTCAAGGTGTGTAATGCGAACCAAAGATCCATCAAAAGATCCTCTTTATCCCCAATGCATCTCCTTTAGTAGGCGGTAATAGTCGTTACCATTCGATTTCATCCACCATTTCCAATAGACCATTTTTTAGCAACAAAATCTAACTTCTCTAAAGAACTATCCGCAACTGCCGTTAATACCAGTATAAAAGCTCGCAAACAATTTGATTAGAACAGACAAGCTTCTCATTCTACAATGTTTATTTATAGGCCTATTTATAGGCATAGCTCAGGATATTATTGAACAAATTATCGTCTTCTCTTTGTTCCATACCGATATTATAAATTATCAGATGAGTATAGTCTTTTGTCTTGTTTACTAAATAGGCCAAATTTCAAGTATAAAATTGAATTGTATTCCCTCTTCCTCTTTCTCACAAATGGATATGACAACAATTCACATAAACATTGTCGTGCTATCAGAATTTGTTTTTGGGATTCCGGAGAATGTAAACAATTCAATTTCACGTCAGTATCGTCT